TGTGTCTGAATCGGTTCTATAAAATACGCCGCTATGCCGCATAGCAGCTAATCCTTTTGCAAATAGCTGCGAATTAGCCGAAGAATGAAAACATTACTACGGGATATATTTACTGTTAGCTTACTTGTTTAAGGGAAAAAGGAAAAATCAATTGACCCGGCAGAGAGGCGCATCGTTAGTGATGGATATGTCCTATGTTGTAGCAAATTTCTAATTTGCGAACACATCTTCACTTGTACCTTGTAACTTAGAAACATTATGAACCTGTATGTAAACAATACAAAGAAATAAATGAGAGCGAAAGCTTTCCGTCGTCGTCACTTTCCCAATGCACAGCAGCAAATCCACCTGCATGCTTAACACACTAAGGAGAGGCCTGTTGCGCCAAGCTAGCGTGCATCATCTTTCCGTATCGTCATTTCGCAAGATGACGATTTGTGTTTGACGTATGGCGATTGTGCTGCGTGCTAATCGGTTGCCCACTAATTACGATTCTGCCGATGGTAGTGAAAAATGATCGTTTCTTGGTCAATTACGGGAAATCCAGTTGTCGCGGTGCAACAGGAAACAAGCCAGCCAGTCTGCTTCCTACCTACAGACACACAGATGTAGTAGCACAGATGAACTAATGTTATGTTCAGGATAGTACCACTGTGTATTGGTGTCCTGCTTTTGTCTGGGCAGCTCAAACCAACTTATTACCACGATCGCTGCTCCGTAACTCATCTTCGCGGGTGTGTGTTTGAGGGCGTGCATGTATGGTTGTCGTACGACTCGGATCAGCGTTATCTTACCCTATCGTGTCCTATTATTGTGGGTCAACGTATTTCCTTCTTTATTATTGTTGTTGTTCGTGGTGTTTGTTTTTATTATAATGTTCAAGTGTTGGTTGCTTTTATTACCGTAGTCGTCGTTGCTTGTCGCTCCCTTGCTGACCTGTACATATTACCCTGGTCATATAGTTGATATAGTGCTCGGGTCAGTGAACCGCGTCCTGTCGCTTTTCCGTTCTCCGGTAATTTTATCGATGACGGAATGCGTATAGTGACGGTATCAGATGTTATCATCGTTGTTGGTGGTACCAGCGGCAGCGGCTCAACTGACGATGTCAGACTCAGCTACTGCTGTTGAGCGACGGACATATAGAAGGCACAGATGTATATAAACGAAGCTGGAGATGATGCTGATGGAGAAAGGCTGGAATAGGACGCTGGACATGCGCTGCTCGTAGTGATGCTGTCGACATCAGCAACACCCAGTATTAATTATTATTATTGTTATTATAGCAGCAGCAGTGGGTCTACTTGCGATGGCGGAGCTAGGCGACCCAATTATCGTGATTTTAACGTGTGTCGTGATGGTAACCGCAGCAACAGCGGCAGCCGCAGGTTGCTGTAGGCGATACGAGTGATCCCGGGGATGCGCCATCTCTCTAGACTCGGGTCGTTAATATTATGTCCCGTTTATGCCGCTGCCGTCGCCACTGCGATTTCTGGTAGTCACCTCCGGCTGAAAATTATTGTTGTTGTCGTCGTTGTATTGGTAATCCTGACGGCGCTCTGCTATCGGCCGTCAGTTAATTTAGGACCAGCATAGTAAGTATCAGGCGACCGCCACAATCAGCATCTCATCGCCATTACTAGAACAGCGTCACACAAGAAACACCATTACGAGCTGCCATTACTTACCAAGCGACCTATTTACTATGATGATACTGATTATGCTTACTAAGACCGATTGGCTGGCGGACCGTGGTAGCGTCGGCGGCAACAGGGAATCCGTTGCAGCCGTTACTGTGCCGGCAGAGAGAAAGACGATCCACCGACGACGATTCGACAACGGCGACCGCATCAACAACCACTTCTAGTCGTTGTTAGCCGTAGCGGTAGGGCTGCTGGCGATAGTATTTGTATCAGTGTTAACGTTACTGCTGTTTCATTATTATCATGGAATAGCTGCAGGAACGACGATTGCAACCATCACAACATAAAAAAAAACACTAGCAGTAACAACAGCGTGATTGGTAGAGTTGTACCTGTGCAATAACTGCCGGGGCTGACAAGTGACAGCTGCTGTGCTCGTTCGTTTGAAACGGATAAAGCGGACGAAGGACATGACACACCGAGAGACGAAGGCGGCGTATGGATGAATTGGACGGAGGGCAGAACATGCCAGGGCAACGAAAAGACGAGAAAGAAAGCGTAAGCGGCGTGGGGCAATGGGGGGAAGAGTGAATGCTAAGCCACTAGCGGCAACAACATTAAACGAACAAGTAGGCTCACGAGAACGGTGTAGCAATGCTGCCATCGCCGCATTTGTTGCTAATGGCAGTGGATCGCCAAAGTGCTAGCTGCCGAGCGTCCAACCGTTTAACCAGCGACAGCAGCAGCAGCGATAGTAATAAGGAAGGATAAGCGTCAGCAACGCCAGCCAGCCAGCCAGCCATTACGACGGTGCGATAATAACGAAACGAAAACGATACGTTGTCGCCGTCGTGGTCGATGTTATTATTTAGCAATTTTGCCTCTACTTCTTTTCGGCCACTGTTACTGTTATGAGCGCCATCAGACAGTGCCATCACCGCGAGCACCGCCTGGCAAACGACCGCGATGGCGGCAGTAGCAACACCAGCAATGAGGGAGAGAATGCCAACAACAACTACAACAAAGGTTTGTTGTTGTTGTTGTTCTACTTCTTTTTGTTGTGATGTTCCTGTTGCTATCGTGGCTGTCGTTGATTATATCGTTCCCAGTGGTAATGACGATGATGATGCCGGCACCGTCACCAATAATAGCGGTCCGTAGCACAGCATGAACCGTTCTAGAAGTAACGCGGCACCAGCAGTAAATAACAGCTAATGGTGTCGCTGGTGGAGTTTGTTGTTGTCGTGACGATCGGCGTTGCCCCTGCAGGCGGGCCGGCCACCCGACTAGTGGTTGCTGACTCTTGGGCTCGCTATGGCCGTGCGACGAGTTGCCGCTTCAGAGATGGTAGCGGTGGCTGTAAAGTCTGCTAGCGCACGGCCATTGCTATTGCCGTTGCTCGGCGGCGAAACGGCACCATCTTCACTAGCAGAATCGCCAACGAACACCACCATCATCATCATCATCATCATCCTCATCATTAACACCACCACCACCGCTGTCATACGCATTATGACCACTTGTACATATTCTATTCTACTATACCTTCTACCATAGCATCCACCAGCAACGACCTACCCTCCCCCCTTACATAATCATCAAACTCATCAACGATAGGCGACAATAATTGTTGTTGATGATGACGGCCACTGTTGATGACTACGATGACCATAACATAACGCACAGTGCAGAAGCAGCCAGCAGCCTATACATGCAGGATCACGCGGACATCAGACGCATATATGTATATAGTCGAGAATACTTTTAACCAGCGCTACTGTCTATGCTGATAACCACAGCTGCTACTGCCGTAGCGTACTCGTTAGTTTCCTTTTGTCATCATCGTTGCCGTTGGCGGCCATGACGGTTTCTCCACCAGCGGGCAGCACTGTTCGCCCGCTGTTGATCCATCGTTTTAGCCGTTGATGCAATTTTCTTAGTTGATTCGCTGCATTGACAAGCACGAAGTACTAGTAGAGACGAGCTGTCAGCGCGATCGCGCTGCTCATAAAAGGCTAATGGCGCTCTTCCGGATGATAGCGGCAACGCCGACGAACGGTAGTGATTATTGTTGTTGTTATTACGACGACAGGGAAGATCAATGCGGCAACGTTGTTGGTTATAATGGCCGCCATGTCAAAAGTTGAGCTGCACCGATGACAGTCGGAAAGGACAATATACAAATAGCTTGGAAGCAATAATAAAGAATTCTACTTGCTACTGCCCCCCTGATGTTGATCGTCGGAGTCGTCCGCTATGGCGACGCCCACCGTCGTCTATGGCTCTTTCATCTAACGGCGTGTAATTACGGGGTAAAACGGCAGAATAATGATAACGAGCGAACATTATCGCGTCGGATTGTTGTGTAGCGGTTTAGAGGGTCTAGAATTTTTACTGTGTTGTTGTTATTTTACAGTACAATAAAGTACTTGGGAATAGAGAAATATAGGTAGAAAGAAATTGATTGAATCAACACTTGCTCGCACAAAGTGTGCAGTTGTCGAAACTGTCGGAATTCTTGTCGGAAGATTAAGGGCCGTTCGATTTTCATTTGAATATGAGCATGGGTTGTGGGATCTGTTTTCTCCGTCCACGGTTTATCTCGGTAAACCGCTTCGTACTGGAGTTTAGCAACTTTTAGCCTCGAATTTGTGGTCGCGATGCCCATGCGATGCATGACGGTTACTGCTACCGAGAAGAAGCTAAACGGTCCATCATGTTCTGCTCTGTAGCGTCGATCGAACACGTACCTATTCCGTAGGTGTTTAGTACTATTTGACCTTGTATTGTTGGATCATACTGCGACACGAACGCCAAACTCGTTCGTGTATAAATCGACCATTAGTTCTATCTTCGTTGTTCGCTCTAATCGGCTTAATCAATCGACAATAACTAGAGATACGCACCATTTAGTATTATCAGAATGTCTCTGCGAAGTTTTACTACTTTATATGTCGTCTAACAATAGCAGTCTTCTTTGACACGTAGAAACAGAGCAGGCTGTGAGACTGTTTTCGTCCATTCCTGTACCATGTGAGACAGGACATTGACAGGACGTTTTGTAGATCCTAATAGCATTTGGAAATGGGAATGTCTGTAAACAAAAAAAGGTTATGATGAATGTCGATATGTTTCTCGTGATAATGAATCTCGAATCTGTTTAACTGTGCAATTTTATATGAACGTAAAATACTCAAAAAGTTAGTTTTTTTTTTAATCTTATTTCCAATTATATATTGAATAGCCGCCTGATGTTTTTAAAATTCGTTTTTGGCAGAGTCTTGAACTGAAAGCTTTCAGTAGAACTGTTGCCAATGAAAATGTTTTTCTCGTTTGTGAAAATTGCTTGTCTTGCAGGTGCATACAGGCGAACGGCCCTTCCAATGTTCATTTTGTCCAAAGAGGTTTTCAACATCGACTAATTTGAGACAACACCTGCGGACACATCAAAACCACTTAATGTAAGAGCTTTTTTTGTGCTTTTATTGTTGCTTGTCGTTTGTGATTTCTAAGGCAGTCCCTACTGGACAAAGTAATCGACTAAAGATAATTCTACTCCTACGTGCTCCCAGCTATGAAATGATCGATTTGTCACATCTCTCGCACTTTTACCCATCGATCTGTGTTTTGTTTTATTCGTATAGAAAATTGGAACCGTCAGGCGCATCGGGCGCCGGATCGGGTGCTGATTCTACAGCTGCTGCTGCTGCGGTGGCAGCTGCAGCTGCTAACGGTGGTGCGAACGGCGGGCCCGGAGTGCCTCAGGTACCCGTTAGTTTGGCTTCGCTGCCCAACCATCCGCCCCCACCAACGTCTGTTGCACCTGCACTTGCAGCGAGCAATCCTTTGGCGGCCATGCCTCAGCACCATTTTCTGCTCGGGCGACTGCCGCCCGAATTAAGCAGCTTTGTGTACGGCAAGGCTGGTGGAGGCGGACCCGGCGGCCATTTCGGAACCGGGGTCCCTGGAGGCCATCCACTGAGCACCGTTGGGGGTCTGCCACCTCCGGCTCATGCTCATCAGCCTCCGCCGCCCCCGCCCCACCAACAACAGCAACAACAGCAACAGCAGCAGCAACAACAGCAACAGCAGCAGCAGCAGCAGCAGCAACAACAACAACAACAACAGCAGCAGCAGCAGCAGCAGCAAGAAAATCTCGGTAGATAGGGCTGGTCCCTCAATCAAGGCGAGATCATATCACCGCACCGTCAGTTGCTACTGTGTAATTCGGCGCCTCTCTCTGACACACGACTTCAGAAACTTCAGCGGCTTCAACACTTCCAATCGTGTCAGCGGAGACCGAAGACGGCGAACCAGAAACAGAAGTAGAGACGAACGTGGAAACGAGTGCAGAATGTAGAATAGCAATTGGCGTTGGACTGTCGCATTTGATGACTTCATCCATCCCACTTCGTAGATACATCACTGCTGTAAAAGGATCGATGATGTCGTCGTCAAATGGGAAGATTACATATATACATAAACACGATAGAAGTTAACACACAATAAACCCCTTCTGTTTGGGCAATGCTAACGGAGAGGCGATAACTGGAGAAATGGTTGTTTCCAACGACTGTGCTTTGTGGGCAGGCACTGAGCAAATTTATTATTAGAGTGAATCGCATGACAGAACATAAACCTATTGAATACAAACGGTTGAGGTCACTGCGGACATATGAACAACTTCAGGGAAGCCGGCGAACATTAATCTACAAATAACAATATGCAAAAAAAGGCAGCGGATAGAATGCGCTTAGCGGGAAGGTCGAGCAAGGCCCAGCACGGACAAAGAGATGATTCGATCAGAACAAAAGTAGGTTTGATGATATGCTCTATTGACGTATCGTCCTAGCGCCCTGAAATTCATAATCTTATATCGTAACAAGCCCTGAGGCTATTGTCAAATTTGATGTTGCGTTTCGAAATTATTTCGCCTCGTCACTTCTTGGTCGCCCGTTGCATGGTAAATGTTTTGGCTAGGGTAATCCCGGTAGCTTAATTTAGTTTACAAGCAGTTTGTAAAATGGCGGTTGTCAATTTAGAGCGTAGAAGCACTCGCTGAGGTTATTCAAAACATCTATTTTATTGTGGTCTGTCTTTAACAGGTTGTAGAGAGTGCCTCTCGTCGGCTTGTGAACGTGAAAGCGGCATCCGTGCAATCCTTGATCAATGACAGGATCATCTAATTGTGTACATTGTAAATATGTTGCTATATAAAAACAACCTCGAGTTACTATGAATAACAAATAGTATTAAAATAATGTGAACTCACGGTTCTAAGGAAGATGTAGAGTCGAGCGAAGATGTGGGATACTTTCATGCTCGAAAAGTGGCGTTGATAAATAAACCAGAAAATGTACAAGAAATTCGCCATTTTTATCCTTCTATTAGTTGTTCAGCTCATAGAGTCGCAGTCGTAACGAAGATGTATGGGCTAATAGCAGCCAACGTTAGGTCTCGTTTTGTTTGTTCAATGGGTCATACTTTCGAATAATAGAAGATGTCTTTTGGGTGCTGACTGACCCCATGTAGAGTTCACGCTGTTCCGTAGATGCTGGTCTTATAAAATGAATGAAAACGCTTTACTCTAGGACATTTCTAGCAGTTCGGGCAAGCAGGAAGCCCACTGGAACGATGGGTCTGTTACTATACTTCGGGAAAGTGTAGCTCAGATTTGAAATGCGTAACTTGTCCAGTTATGGGTTTGACAATTTGGTAAGCACTAAGTAGGCATTTGCATGCGAAGGGTGAGGACATCTTGGAAATGTAGTGAATTTATAGGTCATCAAGGAAGTCGCATTAACCGTCAAAAGCTAGTTACTAGACTTGGACTTGGTGTTTGTGGAATTAAGCGTCAAAACAGGATTGGTTCAAAAAGGTTCGCATTAACACATCATGCTGTCGCAAGTTCAGCTCATACACATACATCGATAAAGTGCGTTTTTTTTTTTTGTATCTAGAACACATTCGTCTTTTTGGTGGAGATCGTCGACTTCATCGGAGAAACAAGGTTAAAAAACATTCTTTGCTTATTACAAAACCTATTGAAGTATCTATACAAGGCAACGATTGCTGGCTAAATGATAGCTTGAAAATGACAATCGGCGTTATGGTTTTGCCCGTTATGGCTGAGAACTCGATACGCTTCATGAGGACAGGAAGGCCGCGACGGCGGAGGACCGGCATGGAGGCGAAGCACACACAGAAAGAGTAGAATCATCCTGCAAATGATTAAGAATCAAATGGATATAGGATAAGTAAGTTACTACCATTTGAGGAAGCGAATGTGCATGGAACAACACGCAAGGTGACTGATTGTTCATTAGATTGAAAAGTTCTATCAAACCCTCACGGAGCAATTGTCTTATTGGCCCCTCTTAGCTTTATGTTTCGCATTTACTCCAGCGTACCATATGTTTATTTCGACAGGAATACCGTGAGGCAGTCCAAGTAGAAGTAACGCTGTTACAGCTGTGGTGACTCGAGCCATCGATGATGATAATAGACTCCATGATCGACCTGCCAAAAAAGCCGACGCCGCCCCGCTGCAGTGAAGATATCAACAAAGGAAGTTCAAGTTACTTTTCCGATTTTATGGCAAAGATAAAACTATGAAATAATTTCATTATTAATATTTAAAATTACAGTGTGTATTTCAAGTTATTTTTTGCGGTTAGGTACAACCAGCATTTGGGCGACCGTACAATTTCTGTTCCAACAGTGAACTAACCTCATCAAAAACGCTATCCAAAACGACGGTCGTTGAAAGTACGAAGCTTCAAGTATGTAAAAGTAGTCGCCGGCGGCAACACTCATTGATGTTAATATGATAAGGACCGAACAATTGTACGTCAGTTCACGAAGTTTCACGCTGAAATAATACAACAGTGGGTTTTTTTGAATTAAGGATAAGTTTCACTCCCACGATCTACCTGTGGACAGGCGCTATTTCGAATCGTGTCAAATTATCAAGTAGACCATTATATGCCGCCAATAATATATACTGCAGGACCAATGTGACTAAATAAAGAAATAATTAAGGTAAAAATGGCTACAGCTGTCTTTCACATTTCTGCTAATCAGGTCGAAACTACAACTTACTTAACCCGTACGCAGTGGTTGACTGTATTGGCCTCGAGGTATTTGACGGACGCTGAAAAATAATCGTCAATACAATGACAACCGTTTAACTGGATAACTAGTTCCTTTCAACGTATGGTAACTGCGTACGCCTCCAAGTAAAGAAAAGCTGTAGCGGGGCGACGAATCGACAAACAAAGGATAAACCGGCGCGAGGATTAAATCACAATCGAAGAGAACTCAAGGTCAGGTTTTTACTAGTAGAAACTGCTACGTACCGGTCGTTAGTGCTAACAATGAAATTCTTTAGAAAGCTTTTATTAGTCTAAGATAGGAAAACGATTACTTATATATATATATGTTAAATATATATATATATATATATATATAGTTATGAGTATTCCAATGTCAAGCTTACCAAGGGAAAGGACATGCATGGTCATCCAAGATGCACCGGTTGAGTACGAGGTTGGCAAGTGGACAAGTACTGATGAAACAGCGAAAGCGGACAACACAAATACAGAGAGCTGTGACATGCGCCTGGAAGACAGAAGTTCGCGTGACGATACTACCATTATTATCGTGATTGTAATGATTATAAGAAAAAGCGGTAAATTGTTGATGACAGCACGGACGATATGGTGCGTGCGTTCCCTATATAGTGTCATACAGCGCTTACAGACGATTGAAAATGTTATCGCAATAAGGTTGTAGAAGTGACTTAGCACATAGAACACGCAAAAAGAAGGCGCCATATAGAACTCTTCTAATCAACAATATCAGATGTTAGTTAAAATGTATGGAACGACTTGCTGTCATCACAACAATATGACTCGAACGGAAGTAAGAGTAAATTAATATAAGACGAACTTTGTCTATATAACAAACTAAATTTTATATGAGAAAAGAGCGCTTTTTTGTAATAAGACTGAAGCTAAATGTGTTTGGACACATACAAACCTTTGTCCGGCTTTGTGTTCGATGTTCTGTACCGCATCTAGACCCCAGTTAATAAGGGACGCTGCAGTTTGTAAAGCCATGAAAATTGGGATAGGCTGAAACGGAACAAATAGGCAAAATTTTTTGACAGGCTGTAGATAACGTATGTTCACACACATACGACAACTATAAGGTAAGAAGTTACGTGTATGCAGTTGACGCAGTAAATGGAATTATTCACGCTTTTATTTCCGTCTTAGTCTGAAACTTAAATAATTCAGAGAGCAATAATTACCTTTTCTATTAACATATATTATTTGATATTATGTTTTATGGAATTTTATTTTCTTAGTTTAGTGTTTACGTAGTATCTTTTACGCTTGACATCGCACCCAGATGAGCATGATGAGATGATCATGCGATCCAAACTGATACCCTCAGTATCTGGCCGTTTTGTGTTCTAAGATCTCAAGCTCTGTGTGGAGCAGTGCTTAACTGCAGTGTCAAACGTAGAAACCTAAAGCGCTTATAAGCATATATTACTATGAACATGCCTTATCATTAATAACATAAATGGAATGACCGTCAGATCGGATTGTTTCGTACACACCAGTTCTGCAAGCGCTTTTGACCCAGCGTACGAATGAAGGGTCACAAGAGGTAGAAGAGGCAGCGCTCCCCAAAGCAATGCTCCGGTGCATCGCGGATGTCGTCGAGAGCGAAGAGCAAGCCGTGATAAGGCCAGTGAACCGCAGAGAGCCTGCCAGCTGATGAAGAACCTGCATTAAATGATCGATTGATCCCTTACGACAAAAGGTCCTAGTGCTGCCCATATGAACTAAGATCCTACGTAGGTAGCATCCCTTCGCTCCGACAAATAAGTACGCGTTGACAATATTTGTCGAGAAGTATTATTAAGGGCTATATAAAAAAAAAAAAAAAAGATAAAGATAACCGGACATTTCGTCTTGAAGGTGTTTTATTGAAAGGCGTTTTCGAGCACATGCAAACCAAAATTATAACCCATAAACGAAGTTTGTCTGGTGCATCTCATATCTCAACAGATCTGCCAACATTGTATAGGCCTGATGCGTAAGTACCGAACAGATAGCGCCGCAGGATTCTCTAGTTTATTTAAAAAATACATCCATGCCGTTCGTGTCATTACTGAGGTATAAGTGGTGTTGTTGATATTCGCTTCTAGTGTACGTTAACCTCACAGTACTTTGACTCACCTCAGAAATACTGCGGGGTAAATAAAACCCTCGTTTGTGAGAACCAACTGAAACATAAAAAAAAATACATCTCGTTAAATGGTCACAATCAAGAACGCATTGCTTTGCTGAAGCATATCTTAATTTCCATTCACCGAGAATATTCCCACAACTGTTTTTCAGATTTGGAACGTCAAATGAAGAGCTCTGGTTTGTTTACATCGAAACATTAGAGACAAACTCCTCTTATCACAATGTTGTGCGAGCTCAATATGATCACGGGATCGATAAGTGAACGTGGAAATCAGAAAGAAACTAAAAATTCGGTCTATAATAGTAAAAAAAAAACTGTACCTTGTGCACCCATGTTAATAACTATACGATATTTCAAGGCTTTTATAGCGACTTGAGTTAATAATCCATTATATAACTAGACTTGTTGCGATACAATCCAACTGAAAATCATTTGCTTCACAAATGATGATTTGCCCTTATATAACCTAAGTTAGTTTATTACATATAGAATATATATATATTTATTAAATTCTTAAGGGAACGAGCCACTTCTTGATTTCAAACAGCTTCTTCCGATTTAAAAATAGCGTTTCAATTCTGGGTGCCGCGCAGTAGCTAAAATTAAGTTTACTTCGTGCAGAAGTCTTGCATCATATCGTGACCATTGGTATCGGCGCGAATGATTTCGCAAGCATGCTGCGCGTGCTAGCTTTTCCGAAGCTGCTTAATACTGATAACGGCGTAACGTACAACTTGCGATCAAGTTAGGTCGTACAGAAACAATCATGCACTTAGGACATTTACCGATTTTTACTGTGTTGACGAACTGTATAAAATTTCAAACCAACGATGTGTAGGCTTTTTCAGCAGCGCGTTGCCCCCTCTTGCTCCCTTGGAATTCCTCGATGCTGACATAATAAAAAAAAGAACCCGTCAAACCAACGGCTGTTCGCGGCGGACAAGCACGGTTATTCTCATCGGTCGCTGGTTTGATGTCGGCGGTAAACCGTTATTATCAAAGATATTTAGCCCAGAATCGTTTGTCAGCGCTGTCTATAGTAGGGCTGATCAAGGCCTTCCAGTACTCCCATCCACTGGGAATGACTGGGGCCGAATCTGCTTAAAATCCTGTTGGCTTGATCTATTCGACTGGCCGCGCCATGCGGTGCAGGCAAGAACTTCGGCCGAATTGTTTGCCTTGGTATTGAGTCCGCTGATACTTCTATTATATGCCATGCGACGCGGGTTGTCGCTACGTGGGTTCGTTTGATTGTGATTCAGATTCGCTTTGTGGACGTCCAGCTATAGTGTTACCATTGTTTGAGACACGTGGCTCTAGTCATTGCGTCAGGCGTCGATCGCCCTCTGCGACAATTGATGATTACGATCTGATGAAAGGCTTGCTTTTACAGGTTCAAAAGACAGAACTGTGATCGACATGTTGCTGATGACTAGAGACAATGTGACCAGTAGGTGAAAAGATTGTGATTAGTGAAATTTTTTTGGGTTCTTCTTTATTAGGATAATTATTACATTATTATTATTATTATTATTATGCTAGCTAAATGGTATGGTGAATTCTGATTTGCATAGTAGTGCACATAACAGATGGAAATTTCCGTGTTATAAGACAGTCCTATTTAAATTACAATTGTTAAATAGAACATAATATATTAGAGGCAACAGTTTATATTTGGGTTATTACGATCCGAATTCTGTTCGGAATCCGCCAGTTCAGAAATAATGAAGTAATCTGAGGTTCATATAGTCCGAAATGCTCGTAGCGCAGTAGTTCCTATTATAGGTATAAGATGGTTGACAAATTATTGGTCAGTTATTTCGTTGTCTATCGTATGACTATATCGTAACTATCGTATGGCTGGTCTAAATTTTTGTCTTTTTTTGTTTGCCAAGCTGACATCAAACCGGTTTGGTAAAACTTCTGATTTTAATAAATGACAAACAGCTCTAAAAAAAACAAATCAATCAAACGATATGCTTTATTAATCGTTCATTTTCGTATCGATAGTTAACCCCTCGTTTGTGCTAAAAGTGTGCAATAGAATGAGTCGTTTGGACACAAAAAAGTAGTATTGTCCATAGTGCCTTTTTTACCTTTGTAAATCTACAAGGCCCGAAAGATTCTGGCTTTTGCCCTATACACCTACGCTGGATTTGTTCAACAAATTTTGACACCATAATTACGCAGTAACAGAACAAACATCTTCAACATAGCTATCGTTTCAATATCCCCCATTATATATAGTAGGTTAAAGGAAACCAATATTGGCGTACGCGTACTTCTGGCTACCAACTGCAACAAACGCCACGATAGATTCCTTGCCTATTTCTGGGACACTCACACTCTCCAAAATGAACAACTATGCATTCGTTTCCGCAAAATCAGACGCGCACATATTTTGTGCCGGCACAATCTGAAAGGACGGTTCTGCTACGAACTACTCAATTAGGCCTACGTCGATGCGGCGTACTGGATGCTGGAGGATCAGCGACGCTCTGCTTACGCGTCTGAGGGCCCGATTTGCTGCGCGTCATCGGTTCAGAACAACTGTGATTGTGTATATGAGATGTGCACATATTCCAGAGCCAGATGAATGCCTCTCTCGTTATCGGAATCGGTCGATTACGTTATAGCTATAAATTGTCGATAATTCAATGTTTATAGGCTCAGACATTGTGCAAATTTTGATTGGCAAAAACAAACTCTGTTATAACCCAGCATCGTGCAAGCGATAGTTATTATTTCAACTGTTTCTCCTTTATGTGTTTACATGTTCAGTTAAAATTTGACACGGTAGGAGCTAGAACTTATTAACTGACCAAACTATTTTCTTTATATAACTAATGTGGTATCTTTTGTACTGATTCGATATAAATTGTAATAATAACTTATTTATGATCTACATGGATTTTTATTTCATTTACAAGGATTCTATGTTCTTTTGCCAGCATACGATTTCGATTCCAGACAAATATTCATACTACTCCCAATTGGCCATTCTATTCAGGTGTCGTTATCGGCAGGAGTGAGATGCTTTGTAGTCTTATCAGCATCACGTATCTCGGTCTGTAACCTACCTTGATGATCCGTAAATCCCTTGGATTAGGTCTCTAATGCAAATAGGTTAGATTTGCATAGCAGTGAACATTAGCTACACCTACATCTTGACGTATCAACATGCCTCGATATGTTCAGAACATAATCATACCTTATTCGCAATAGTCTGTACCGCAGAGAATCCGAGTAATGTTGCTAGCGATGGCAGATCCATCTTAGCTAATTTAGACAATCCGTGAAACACGCATCAATGAATCTTACGCAATTTATCAACTACCTTGTTTACACACGAGGTCCGACAAACCGAGCGCGCTCATGTTAAAGCAGAATTATGTAGATGCGTTCAACCGCTGTAGTTCTCCATTACCGTACCACAACATCGTTCGTTCACCACACGCTTAGCGCGTCTACTTCAGATCCCGATGTCTACTAATGCAATTTGCTAAATACGAAAGCTAGTCCCCGAGACGTCCGGATAAGGCACACACTGCGGTCTGTTTGCGGTCACACTGATAGGGTTTTTTCTATCAGGTAACGACTGCCACCTTTGCCCTAGCTCTATGTATAACAATAAATCACAGTAAATTATTTATTCAAACTACAATTCAAAACGCATGAAAGCAAGATTCACCAATATGTGTGTTTCTAAGGTCTGAACTTCGAGGCCTGCACCGAACCGACATAAGGAACAGCTGCACGCAGCTAGCCACATTTCACGCCCTATACTGAGAAGGCGAAACTTGGTGCAACCAGATCACGCGGGGCCTGCAGAAAACTTACGCTGGCCATTTACAAGTGGCGACGGTCGCCCTGGTTGATTCAAGTCGAGACAGACTGTTCTTGTGGCCGGTGACGTCCCGCGCACGGCGCGCTGCTTTGTATCTCGATAACGGTGCGTGAGGGTCGCAGTAGCGAGTCGCCGAAGATGAACTGCGTATCCGCGTGCCCTTGCACAGTCGCCACTTGGTCGCGATAATAGAAATAGGCGAAAAACTTGCAGCGTGCGAAGAGTTAGGCTTAATTCAAATCTTACAATCAAGTGTTACTTTAGAGTATTTTATAGGGAGAAATGAATTGTCAAGCTCGATCGCGCAGACTTGAATGTGACGGTCCCAGCTAGCGATTTTGATGACGACTGTTGGGCTAGTTGTGATGGGTTTAAATTTTATGCGATCTAATGTTATCAAACTCTAAGCTGAAGCCGATGTATGAAAACATAAATCCGGAGCAAAAAAAGGTGCTCTTTCGCGTGACCACGTATAAAAAAATAGAGGTCTTCTAGCAGAGCGGTTACCTCCTTTCTATAAACTTCTACTCTATGACTAAGGCCCGCATCGACTTTTACATACATTTACACATTTTTCGTTACATGAGGGAACGAAAACTGAGATTATTTCTAAACGATCTTTAGCCTTCTAAGCGACGTCTACATTAACTCGAAATTGCTATAATGCTACACGATACCGTTTTGAAATAATGACGCACAGTATGTTGGCATTAACTAAACATACACTGAATACGATAAGTTGCTCACTAGAGTTACAAGCACAAAACATCAATACACATCTGTCTCATAGCATTTAAAGCGTTTCGACAAAGACTATGTTAGCTTTCGTGCGTGTCGTGAAACTCATGTCTCTACTAAACTGTTAGCAAGTAGGCTTCAAGATTATTCGAGAAACGAGGAAAAAAGCTCATAGTGAAAACAACCTACCGTACAACGGTATATAATTTCACAATACGTTTTAGATGTGCGGTATCAATCGATTTATTTATTTACTTGCTACCTTTCCTATATATCGTTGCTAGGCAAGGTAACTGTGACAATATTTGTATGCAATTACAGTATTGGTAGATCGATAATCTATCTATATTCACGTGGGCAAATTTCGGGGGTTTCTGCGCGTTATTGGAAACAGTTTAAAGGATATTGGACGCGTCTCGCTTCTTCTGCACGAAAAATACTGCCTTTCATTTATGAAGCTTACGCGCTTTGATGATTAGGATTAGACCGCGAGTTAGAATATAGGCCCTTGAATATGTACTAAATGACAGTAGTTCAACTATAATGCCCATATTTGGGCAATTAATACGGATAGGAAATAGTATATATCCGATAGAAAAAAATAAAACATTGTGAGACACTGGGCATCTGAATACAACGGCATTGATAGGTGCTGACCAAAAAAATATGGCGTAAACAGAATCAATAAGCCTTTATTATGGCAGGTTGTTTGTTCAAATTTCAGAACTAAATTTTACGAATTTTTTTCATAAAATGTCTATAGATAATGCTAACGCCCCATATCACGCTTTTTATTTTTTGTGCAGCTTGGTTTTGTATTAATACCGCTACTATCACCAATGTAGTCATTTATCTCGTTGAAATACACGCGACAGCTCATTCGTAAGTAGACCCCCAATGAGGATGCATAACCGTCTTGTACAGCTCTGCAGATGCTGAAAGAACTCTGACCGAAAATTTTTTGAGGTAAAATTACCTCACGATTGCTTGGCCACTATGCGCAACAAATTTGTAGTGTGAGACTTTCTTATACAGTACCACAATGTTAGCGTCAATGGCGAAATAGTGCGAACCCTCCGACAACTATATTGTCTCACTCTTACCGTCGGTCAACGACGACTTACGCAGCTTTCTTTCGAATCTTTGAATTTCTGCATGTTTTTACCAAGGTCGCCTGAAACTTGGTCAGGATAGTCAGATGACCAGGCGCGGGAAACAATCATTTACTGCGCTTTCGTATTCGTTGAGTTTTGTCTTTGACATCGCACCAAGTCCTGCTCGTCCAAAACAATAATCACCGAACCATTTTTAGTTTGATGGCCATGATCCGCTTAAGTTATTGTAGCTTAGTGTACCCTAAATGGTCTGGCTTGTAACGTTTCAGATATGTGTTTTTGATGCACTATTACTGACTCATATAGGACAAAACGTTTGGCCCTAGATGACAAGTCACGCGTATTGCAGGAACGCTGACAATCTACAAAACCTCAATGTATTTATAGTACCTTTTCATTCCTAACATAGAGGTCGTTGAGGTAAGAATTTTGACACGAAAACCAATTATGGTAGCTCTCTCATTTGATCGAACATCGCCACTTTGACAAAAGGGTATCTTACTGAAGAAACGCCTGTTGATTGACAGACAGCCTTTGAAAGCAGTCACGTGATGCTAGATATCTCAATCTGTAGTGGCTATTTTCTGAATTTCCAAAGACGGACGACGCCCCACAAAGTAACTGAGTTACATTATAGTGCTGAAATAACAAACAAACAAACAAACATTTACTTGATGCTATCTCCGTTCAACGCGCAAAGTTAAAGATCGTATTTTATGAGAACTTACTTCAACATATGAAACCAATCTCAAGTAAGCATAAAACGAATCACAGAGGTGAAACATCTGGCGAGGTAGCGCCTTCGACCCATTCCGATCATCACCTCAAAGGCATCGATCTTCATTATGGTTGACTCTGCGCAAACACAAAAGGTGGGCACCTTATATAAGGGTAAAGTGATTCTAACATCCTTTTGCGAACTCTCAGCCCAACAGACCGGTGTAGATCTATAATATTTCGTCAGGCAATTGCATGAGGCAGTTGTTGTTATCCGAAACAGTTTGAGATAGGAAGATACACAGACGAATTGGCAATCATAGGGTCTTGAGGTACTGACTGCTATGCGAAGCATTAACTATTTTTTCTTTAAAGTCATTAATATAAACGCGTTGTTAGCGTTGTTAGCCAGCTGAAGAATGACGAAATCGTTTTGCTAGAATCAGAAAGGTCATAGAAAAGCCTAAGTTATTGGCAAGTATCTTGGCAATTGCTAAACAAAAATATCGAACCGCTTGACCTGTGGGCACGAGTGTGTTAGATCTGAAGTCGCTTATTTTCAACATAGCTTGTACGAATCCGAATAGCGTTGACAATGAAGCTGGCTGAAGTGCCGCACAGTCATGCGTTAATTTTATGCATTGCCAATAAAACCCGAACTACTCTACCCTTTAGAATTCGTATTAATGGTATTAATCGTCAAAATAAAGAACAACAAAACTGGCCAACTTTATTGTGAAATGCTATTTGTTAACAATAGTAGCGTGAAGCCAAACATGATGACCAACAGAGATTCCGTTTTCTCATTATGTGAATATGTCCAAATTCAATAGAGTCTAGGGTCAAAGAATGCCTCAAGAAGATGCCGTACTTCTCGATCAATGTCTGTAAAGTTAACACAAATACAGGAGAAGCAATAACAAGTTTCAAACAGACTCCAGTTCGCAACGTAGCTGAACCATTTAGGTTGTGCTTCTATCAAAGACAATCGCGCGTCACGTTCTTGCATGTATTCCGTCTCTTTCATCCGCTTAAACATTCAACTCGGTGACCATAATGTTTTTGTTATCGTGTATTATCATTGTTACCAAAAATTCGATCAGATGGAACTGTTCACGGTCTTCGGCGTAATGTTAGCGTAGAATCCGGCATATCTTGGACATCAATAAAAAAATTCCATGGGCTGACTAATACCAACGTTGAGACATTGGATGCCGTTCGGATGAAGCCCACAAGTGAGGGTATGTATTTACACAGTGAAAGTTTGGCTAAATTGGGGCTCCAGGTCCAATAACATCGCATGCAACAAAACACGATGTTGGTCTTTCTCAGGGGGGTAAGGCACGATCTTATTAAATTAGTTCAATGAGCTAGATCTTATCATTCTCTTTTTTATTGGTTCATGCGTTGGTGATAAGAAATTGATGACGAAATGGCGATTCCTCATTGAGCCTGATTAGGTTTACGTTTCCTGGAACATTACAGCAGAGAGATTGGGGAAATGACAATGATATTAATTGGGACCGACTGTTAGCTGGCGTAAAACACATATAGGATACGAATAATGGTAAGACTAGATTTGTCAGTAAAACTATCAGTGATCACGGATGTTAAACAGTATTTAGCATTTGCATATTTATCAATAGGTTGTAAAGATAACCAGAGGGGTTGGCAGAGGTTTTATTGTGCCTCAATTGAACTTGATACCGATCCGACGCCTCATACGTCAAGTGTTTTCTTATTGCCTCACATGACATTACTAGCCGTTCCGATACTATAGCTAAGTTGTTTGACATTGATAACTGGCGGTCCAAATGTACTGATTTCGGCTTTCATCTCTGAGCCTGTATCACGATCGTCAGAGTGAGAAGCCCCCAAATTAGCTGAAGGTAAATGTGGAACAATGAACGCAGTAGGCGAATCATGTTGAGAACGTATCATACTGGACTGGTACCTTCTGCGTTGAGGGGTGGCCTGTGTCGAGTGTTCTAATAGGGGGGTTTCGGTGGCAGTAGGCGGAGTTGGCGGGGTTGTAGGCGCGACAGCCGCTGGTGGAGCTGAAAGCATTGATGACTAACGTAATCTGAGTATTTTGCAATGAAGATTAAGGTAAGCTATATTTTAAGCCTCTTTCAGAGATAGATCTACATATGTAAAGGGTAATTTTTCTACAACTTATTTTAATTCTTAGAAAATAATGTTTCATAGGTAAGACTTCGGATGTACCCTTTACATTATTAAGTGTCATAGTATAAAGAAGGGTTAAAAAAGCTCGACCATTTTTATCAGGCAGTTGAGTAAAACCATTATGACTTATATATTATAATCGTTCTCTTGGCTCACTAAGAAATAAAGCTACTTAGGTGTAAACTGGTAGCAAAATTTAGCGGTCAGTAGACGCACGTCTCAAATATCGAGTCTAATTACAGAAGAAAACCCACTCGATCTTTTCGCTTCCTCTCATTCGACTACACTATATTAGAATATATTTATAGAAAACATTCTGTGAGAAACATTTCAATTTTTCGAATTTTCTTACCAGGTTGGTTCGGCTGAACCGGCGCTGCTGCGGGTGTCCGTTTAGCTCCTCCCTTGACCTCATCTTCGGACAAAATCTTGAATCCCTCTCGTCCAGCTTCATAATGAACAGTTATTTGTTTACCTCTAGGATCAACGTAGCCGTAAGATCCTCGGACAGTTCCATCGGCGTCGCGAGTCTCCGTTCGGAATGACTCATCGCCATTTGAACCTTTACCAGTCTCATAACCAAATTTGTAGTCACCCTCTAGCTTTTCACCGATGCTTACGTAATGAACGGACGCAGGTGGATGTACAACGACAGGTTTTTTCGGGGTGTTCGAAGAATTTGCAGTATTTGAGGAAGGGAGAGCATTCTCGGCAGCGTTATACGATAGCTGTGCAGTATTGATGTACGGAACCGGGCGGGAGGTGGTCACTGGCGTCGGCGCCTGGTAGGCTGGTTCACGTGAAGGATTGTATTGGGGAACGGGTGGTTGATACGCAGGTTGTTGGTAGTTAAGCGGAGCGGGCGCCGGGGCGTGATAAGCAGGAGTGGCTGGTGTCTTGGGGTACGACTGTTGCACTTGATTGCTAAACTCGTTCAATGGGGAAGCGGGAGTCTAGAATGATTGGAGCGGATTAGGACAATGCTATTGCCATGCGATTATAATTTTGAAAGCTAGCTAAACGTGAGATGCTGCTCTACTTCTCGACTAATTGATCAGAAGTTCTTGTCCCTTATCAGAATACGACAGGAGCGCAATTATGTAAATCACAAACATGTTCAATAGTAATAATAATGATAAGGGTAACCTACTATTCATATAATTGCCTGTGTGTAGTAAAAGTAAACTGTGATTATAGTAAAATTAAATTTCGTATATAAAAAGTCTGTCTGAAAATTCAGCGGCATATACGGACCTGGTAGGCGTTTTGCTGGAGAGCTTGTGGAACCTGTGGGTAGCTGAGGGACTGACTTTGGGGCTGCTGATAGTTATAGTTTGTAGGTGATGAATACTGGTTCGAGAAAAGCCCAGACGAAGGTGAGCTCAGTTGATTGTTCACGAACGGGTAACTGCAATGCGTAAAGTTATGTGGGACGATAAAATAGTAGGTGTTCGTTTTCAAAGTAATTCGAGAAATTTTAGCATTGACGAACGTCCACCATGACATGTGGTTATTGTGCCCTTTTAGAGGTCTGTTGGAAAAACCCAAGTAAATTCAGCGAGACCCATGCCCCATATTGATTCCGACGAATTATTCAAACATAAAAAACAGCGATCGCTGAAGGCGTTGACAAACAAATTGATTGGTAATAATATGACATTGGGTTTTTAGAAATCATAATCATAATCATACATTTGTGCTAACGTACACAATGGCGTTAATGTACTCGAATAGCTATACATCATTTCGTTTGGTATTGAACAGTTATGAAATTTCGTGTAAATGCTCCCTTAAAAGTTCCTCTCATAAGTTTTGCGAACATTGTAGACGTCATATATATATATATATACATATATAAATAACATATACCGTATGATAAGTGCGATTAAACTTATTTGAGGCAAAAGTTTTCGCAGGATTGATTCGTTTAGCCGAACACAGCATTTTTAATTAATACCCGACTTTATCCCGATTTGACTGATTAAAGACCCTCAGTACCGCGTTACCAGCAACTCGACTTCCCGAGCATATGTATTAAGAGCGATCATACTTTTTACGTGTTTACGTATTTGGATGGTGATGTTGATTAATGAAAAACATCCTTTTATCATTGTTCTGAAACAAGATCATTCTATTTAGTGAATCTGTCAGATAAGCGTGTTTATTGTCCTTTTCCTTCCAGCTCGCGGCGATTACCTCCTCAGAAAAAAGCTCAGCCACCCTGTGATCTCTGGGCGAAACTGTTAGTCGGATCTTGATTTAATAATTTATCTAAATGGCAAGCGGGCGAGCAGTGGAGTAAAGGCGTGATAGCCATAAGAAATGGGAAAGCCGACGCAAACATCCGGCAATCCGGTGACGACGAATTACACCGAATAGCGAACTATACAGTTATCGATAAGCGCCCACATGTACAGGCCTTGTGGCAGACCATTTCGAAATAACTAATTTCATTTGGCGTAGCGGCGCTAAGAAACATGATCGTTTTTGCGGGCAACCCCACGTCGCGCGATTATGTTTTTATACAACGGTTACGTTTCTGATATCGTTAACTTACAATCATTCTTTTAGTTTTAATCGACCAACGTGTTTCTCTTCTAATTCACATTACCATAAAAGAAAGTAGATCTATTACGCAATTGTACGTCTCCGAGTTATTCCCGGTTTTTTTTTTTTACCTCAACGTTATTCCTTATTTATTCTGATGTAAAACACAAAAGCGTGTATAATTTCCACCGTCTCTGCAGCCTCACCATACAATTAGTGGTGCTACCTTTGTCGACTGCCATTTGCATAACCATCTAACGTTAAATCTGAGCAGTCAAGCGAACGCTCAAAATTGCAAGATCTCTTCAATAATGCCGATCAAGTCAATATTCGAGGATGGATCGATTTTGTTGGGGTGTCGAATACTTGTGTGGTCGCCTGCTCTGTTCGAAGTTGTTGCTATTAGATAAGCAATGACTGATTTTTGCTTTTAACAGATTGAAAGGCTAAAGAAAGCGTGGGCCAATTTTACTGGCTCTACCTGCCAGAGCCTCTGTCTTCCTGGGGTCAACAACTTTATCTAGCGGCATCTGTATCCTATGCTCCTCATCGTTTTCTTTCTGCAACACGATCCTCAATCAGGGAACCCTGTTTGACCGCTGGTTTCACTCTGATTTTTCGCTGTTTCTGTGGTGCTTTTACTGACTCACAGTAGATCGGTGTTGTGACCCGTGTGAATCCCGTGGTCGCGCGCGTTCATCTACTGTACGTCGATCGACGCAACGTTCTGCCCTATCCAGCCGTTTCTGTTTATATTGACCTTGTAGCGGATAAAACACACGGATGTTGCTATTCATTGTAGCAAAAAGTATTACTTTAGCTATGCTGTTGCTACTGCGGCTGTTAGATGCACGCACTATGCCCTTCAACTAGCCGAATTGTCCGAAACCCCCACTGTAGAAACTGCCACCGAAACAACCAACAAAGCAGCGCCTCCCCACGGTGCTTCCCGACAGACAGACAGACAGACAGACAGACAGACGCAAACATACGTAATTTGCGTGTTCTCACAGATACGCAGTAACAATTAGCTATGACTGCTCACCAGAGCAAAGATAATAATAGACAACACCCATCTCAAAAGAGCAGTAACTTTGCTGAACAAAATGACATTTTAGAACAATAGCATCTTCGCCGCAACCAGGGGCCCCCATGGAGAAGTAAGTTCCACTTTCCCAGCCACCTGCTTAAGATTAAAAGCGGAAATTTAGTAGCCATTAAGAATGCTGACACGGAGATAGAAGGCAGTACAGGGATAAGATGGGGACCAATCGACAAATTTCTATACAAACACTCACAGCTTCACCGCTTCTAACTAATCGCTACTACAACCAATGATTCATAAAAAGTGTCGCCCAGATAAAAATACCTGACCGCAATTTAACCCGCGAGATTAACGTCTTGACCAAATCTTTTTCTAAGCGAGACACATTTCGATGATGGACTATGTTCTCTGTGTAGAGAATGTGACGATCAAGACGACTGTTCACCGTGTCACTTTGCCCTAGAACAAAAGAGCATTTAACCCGTCTATGTGTAATCTTAAATTATAAGAAAAGCAGATATTATTATAATTGCTAACACGATGAACAAGGACGACATAAAAATGGGTTATGTGAGCGGGCACCATGGTCACTGTACGCTACGCAATAAAAATAGGAATAATTGCATTCATAGAAAATGCTGTCAAAACCGGCAGTGAGCTTCGCCGGACTAAGAACGATAAAAAATTTCCAACAGGTACACATTGCACGAAGATCAAATGATAAATTTATAACATTATAGGAGTCGACGTGAACTAAGACGTGAGTAGGTGAACTGGTAATAAAAAAAAAATGTATTTTTACATAAACGACGATTAGATTGTTCTGGCACCTTTCGTTGTAGACCGCAGATATGGCATAACGATCAATAAACAGTTGCCCCCTATGAAGATAACTGCACTGTATTTATGTATGTGTTTTTTCGGTTCGATAGAAACAACGGATAAGCCAAATTTACCTAAAACGGATTCGGCAAGGGGAAAAGACAAAAGCTTTGACGCTCAGATAATGTCGCCACTTCATAACGTACGAGAAATAGGCAAATGATAATTCTTTTCCTGTTCTAAGTGTTTCTGTCAACTTGCGTAACACTAGCATTAAGACTTGTCGGCTATTAAGGTTTTTACAGGTTCAATACTATAGCAACACTCTTTTATTTTTAGAAGAAAATTCCAGTTTGTGGATTCGCAACACATGGCCCTTTCACGAGCCTAATATTTAACAACGCCTCCGAAAATTAGTGATTTTTTTTTTGTCTATACCAACAAAATTGATCACTCGAATGCAGCATATTCTGATCCTATGTCATGATGTAGTATATAATAAGTAAGATGCATAATGGCAAGACTTATGAGAAAAAAAAAAGAGTCTGTTATTAAGGCTTACTCTTTTCCCCAGTTTTTAGACTAATTTATGTTTGAGAAAATTGGCCACGTCTCTATTACTTGCCATTTTCATTACTCGATAGCACTCTGCAACCTACCTCGAGTACGTGCTGAACGAGTTCTGAGGCGCCGTTTGAAAACCGCCACCTCGATCTAGCGCACTGCCGCTCTGTTGACGAAAAACATTATTGCTGTTCAGCGTGTTTGTAGAGAACAGATCGAACGGACTTGAGGGGCTGGCAAGCGAAACATGTCCAGTTCCAAATTGCGAATCGTAGTAAAATGGTTGTAAACTTGAGGGGTTTTCATTTCCAAAATTTCCGAAGGAGTGATCGTACTGGCCTGATGAAAACTGGGCGTGGCTTACGGCAACCACACCGCACAGAAAAATCATCTGAAATGTGAAATTTTCTAAAATGAACACCGATGCAAGGTTCGAATCCTATTGTATTTATTGTTTACCCCGTTGTATCACGTTGCCGATAGGTGACGCTTTATTATCTTGGGGGTCCAGGTCTAAAAGTCTGCATACAACTTGTATTTAAAAAATTCAAATATTGCATAGTGTGAACCAAAAACTTTTAATTTGGTGTGCTCTTTCGGCAACGCATGTTGCTGCATAGTACTTCGGACGTATTCGGACGGAAATTTGTAGGTAATTGTATTGCATGGAAGTCAATGCTACCCACTAAAAATGAATTGGAAGATAGGAATAGAGAGCATGGTCATACTCCCCACGATGTAATAAAGGTACGCGAAATTTAACACCGGCAAGGTCGAAACAGCGTTGACACCAGGGTTTGACAAAGTAAAAGTACGCAGAGGCAAACTCTGTCAAGGGTTCGATAACGAGAGAAAATTCTACGCCATTTTCCAAGCGTTTAGGGTCCTTTATGTGGCATTTCAATAACAATGAGCAGCGCAATGCCGTCTCTTTGAAATAATAAACACAGTCGACTTGTCATTATTTGCGCAGACCTTTCTAAACCCCTTGCACTTTAAGCGTAAGTCTGCCCACTGTTCCCGATATATA